AGCTCTTGAGAAGGCCGAATCCGCTGAGGCCGTGAAAAAAGTTGCTGAGGCCGAGAAAAGAGAGGCCGAGGCTAAGAAGGCCCAAGCGGAGAAAGAGCTCCAGCAAGCTCTGGCCACCAAAGAGGCCGAAGTCAAAGAGGCCGACGAAAAGGCCTATGCCCAGGGCATGGCCGACGTCGCAGAGGACTACAAACTTCAAGTCAGGCAGGCATGCAACAGGGGATTTTCCCTTGGTTGGATGTCGTCGCAGAGGATTATAAACTTCAAGTCAGGCAGGCATGCAACAGGGGATTTTCTCTTGGTTGGATGTCTCTGATAAAGAAGCTTGATCTTCCTGTTGACTCGCCATTGCGCCAGGCCGACGCTATTCCTTTACCATTTCCTCCACCTCCACCTGAAGGCGAATCAGAGTCTGAGGCTGATGCCGAGGATGAAGATAAGCTGATCAATGAAGAAGCCTTGGTGAGAAAACCCAAGGATGCCGTCGAAGCCAAGTCCCTTCCTCCACCTGAGCAAGTTACGGACTTAACCTTGGATGAGGAGGGTGATGAGGTTGAGGAGGCAGCCAAGGAAATTGTTGTTGAGCAGCTATCGTCCGATCTTCTTTTGGTAGAAAGAAGTGTTGAGAAAACATTAGCAGAGATTGATGCCGAGATACAAGCGGAAAAAGTGGCCGAGGAGGTTCTTCCAGAATTGTCCGAGGTCCCAATCCCTACAGCTGCTAGTACTGAAGAGTCTTGATAACGTCTTTTGTACTTTTTTCTTCTTTTTCTGCACTTCGTACTTTGTACTTTCTTTTAATTTCTAGACAATGTAAAACTCCTTCTTATGGCCGACGTAGCCTTTTCAATATGTAACTGCAACTGTTCTTTTTACAGATGTTTTTAATCTTGTGATGTTCTGTTGATTGCTTCTGTCATAGTTCTATACTTAGAAATTTTCCTTTGTGCAATCTTCTCAGGGTTACATACCTCGGGTATAACTGCAAAACTTTTACTTCGGCAAGATACTGACCTGCAAACCTTGCATAAATTTTAACAAGTATAAAACATATACTACTCAATGTAAACTTTGCAGGCTTCTTCTCAAGTTTCAACAAGTATTAAACAGAGACTTCGGTCTGACTTACTTGTAAATTGCTACAAATTTCAACAAGTGAAGAGAAACAGTAATCTCGGCTTAACTTCGACTTGTAAATTGCTACAAATTTCAACAAGTGAAGAGAAACAGTAATCTCGGCTTAACTTCAACTTGTAAATTGCTACAAACTTCAACAAGTGAAGATAAGGAATAATCTCGGCTTAACTTCAACTTATAAATTGCTACAAATTTCAAAAAGTGAAGACAAATATACTTAGCGACTCCAACTTGTAAATTGCTACAAATTTCAACAAGTAGTAAACAATATACTTAGC